TACATAAAAAAAATACATTATGTATTTTATATGCATATGTATATGTATTTATATCTATGTATATATTATAATTATAATTATGTTTGTATTTGTAATTGTATTTATATTTATATTTATTAATACCACTACAGACATATATATACATATCCGTATGAGTGTATATATTGTTCTCGAACATATTTGTTATCGTTCTCTGTGCGATCGAGCCAATTCTCCGGTCGATGACTGTGATACAGATTGACATATATGTAAATCCAGGCCCTTTGTTTCACCTATAGAAATTGTTTGAGGTAATACACTCAAATTTGTATTATATGTAAGGCTTGGATATTGAATTGAACAAAATAATCGTTAAATAGATGAAAGTATGTAACTCGTGTACATCTATTTTTAGATTTATATTCATATTTATAGTTGTATCGATATTTCTATACATTTTGATATTTATATGTTTTTTGATATTGATATATATTTTCATACCTATATTTACAGTTTGATTGTGTATACATTTTCAAGTACATTTGTAGTGTCTCTTCTACATCTAAATCTATATCTTTTTTTTCATGTGCGGGTGTGTGTACCTATATATGTAGGCATGTGTGTATATATACCCTTACCTACTTGCGTATTTGTCTGTGCTTTGCGTATCAGATCAGTCGTAACACCACTACCTGGTAGCCACTCGCATCTACCTGAAATAATATATATGTTCTATTCTGATACTACGGGCCTTGACCGCGATATGGATTGGCAATTATAAACGAGTATAATATACTCATATGCGTGCCAAGCCAAATGTTTTAATCAGTGTTCTAGCAATTTAATATGTATGTATATAAAAATCATATCTTTATACATATCCATGTCCATATACATATACATATCCCTATCCCTATCCCTATCCATATCCATACACATATACATATCCGTAGCCATATCCATATACATACACATATACATACACATATACAAATACCATATACCTTATATGCATATCTTTTCTTATCGCACGCCTCCATCTACAATGGCAGACACTTTCTGTTTGGTCGCACGAGTCTTGGTCGGGATGTGAGACGGCAGTTCTACTCGGAGCTGGAAAACCATGCACTACGACTGGTGCAATCGGGGGGAACGCTTAAACCATCGCAAGTGGTAGATATCACGCGCGTGTTCTCGCGCAAGAGCGCCAAGGAAGTGTACAGTCCCCGCGGGTGAGTCACACACACAGACAAGTTCATCTGTGGCGGATTTTTTTTTTTGAAAGTGTGCAAGTATACGTAGAATATGTGATGGGGGTTTTTATTATAGTCTGGTTCTGTATATATACTACCTATGTTGTGTGCTGTATTCAAATAGTTCGGTACATTCGTCACAGCCAGAGAGCGCGCGTGTAGCATGTATATGTATAGTCTTAATGTATGCATCTATGAGGTATTTGCCGGGAAAAGTATGTGTATGTATAATCTAAGTCTATTGCATCTATGAGGTATTTGCCGGGAAAAGTATGTGTATGTATAATCTAAGTCTATTGCATCTATGGTATTTGCCGAGTAAACGTGCTCGAAATCGCGCAAGAGTGCCAAAGAACTCGTGTGAAACAGTTCGGTACAAACCCACAAGCACTGCCGAATAGCACGGGTACAGATTGCATTGATTAATTCTAGTAAATATACATACATGTAACTGCGTGCGGGTATAAGTCCTGTAGTTGAATATAGCATATACCCCATCCCCTCGCTCTCTCCTTTGGCCTCAGTCTAGTACCTTGCCTCTCAACACCCCCCCTACACCACTACCACTACCACCACCCCCCGTATACATTACACAGATGGTTCTCCTGGCTCGGTGATGAGTTGGATTCCCGCTACACACCCCAGCAACTCGGCACCATCACGTACGCGTGTGGGTTGTCTAGTATGTATGTGGCTGGGCTGACCCCTGTGGTAGAGAAGATGCTCCAGACTATCGCCGGCAAGCAGCCCGCGAAAGTAGCACGGCTGGATATGGCCACCACTCTGCGCGCGTACTTTGCGATGGTGCGATTGGACCCGGAGTGTGGGGACGTGCTGGGAGGTCCGGCCGTCCAGGCGTTTAGGTGGGTGTGACACCAGTATGACACGGGTCGTCATGCATATATCTCTCTTTTGATTGGTGGGTTGTCTAACCGTGCCTTTTGGGTGTTTCAAGACTCCTTGCCTACCACTAACAGATGGAGTCGCGGCTCTGGAGTAAGCAACATAGGTGCAGGCTGTGCAAGCCGACTTTTAGAGCGTAGACTGTCTTTTATTTTGTGTGTAATCGAGACACTCGCTACATACTGGTGATTACACGCAACACGTATTGATATTACTTTGTAAGAGCTTTCGGTACCATTGTCAGTGTATGTGCACTCGCGACACCCGCTACATACCTAGCTACCACCAGCACATAACACATACACTTATTTTGTTGTTGATCTTTTACTGTGCCTTTAATATCGTATGTGGTGTATACGTACGCCAGGTTCAAGGTACAGGGCGTGTGTGGGATGTCGTTATGTGTCTGCGAAATGCAAATGCAGGCATAGATGTGTATGCGAGGTTATTCTATCCGCACCGAAAGCCCATGCACGTGTGCTATAGTCTATATTCGGTATATCCGATACAAGTTGCATCTGTTGTCACAGATTCTTTATACCCACATGATCAGTCACGTATCTAAACTAGGAATCACAGTAGCCGAGGGTGTATCCGCCAATACCTCTGGTACTCACAGTCATCCTGTCCTTCCATTCATCTCTATTACCTGTACGCAAACACCTACTGACATCCCATCTCTTCACCCACACCACCCGTGCCTGTCCTGTCCTGTCCTGTATTGTACTGTCCTGTCCTGTACAGCCCCTTCATTCCTAAGTCAGCCCAGGATGTCACCAACCCGAAGGGCCAGTCTGTGACGCCCATGCATCCGGATGAGGTTGCACTGTGGGCCTGGACTACATGCAGCACACCGGCTGTGAGTGACCCAATGGTGAAGGAGGCGTTGCTTTACCTACTCAGCTACATCGGAGGAAACGGTAGACTCGAAGATAGCAGCCAGAACGTGGTAAGTAGGGGGAAGGGGTGTGTGTGGTGGGGGGGGTACGCGTGTGGTATCGCCATGGTAACGTGGAGGGTGCATTGGGGAGGGGTTGTGTGTGTGGTGTTGCTTGGCTGGGTTGTGGCGATGGAGTGTGTATGTGCATGTACTCATGGCTATAGTATACACAGTGATACTTGGCTGTGGCGATGGAGTGTGTATGTGCGTTGGGAAGGGCAAATGGGGAAGTTGTCTAACCAATAGGTATTAGATTCGGTGATCAAGTACGTCACAGATTTACTCACTTGAAATCGGCCATACCAAACTGTCAAGGCGCTACTCTACCTACACGGCCACATCTGTTGAGTCGGTGGGCTCATGTACGGCAGCAAGCACGTAGTGTGGGCCATGTACCATAATAATATCTCCAGAGATGTACCAGAATAACATCACCAGAGAGTATATAGATATAGATATAGATATAGATATATATATAGACATAGATATAGATATTGATATATATTGAAATATATATATATATATATATATATACATATTTGTGTGTGGGTACATAGCTTGCCAACTACATTGAGAGCTGGGTAGAAGCATACCTGCAGACCGCACTGCTTATGTATATCTACTCGATGGGTTTGTTTCACTCTCGCTACTCGTACTTGCAACTCTGCAGTCTACCCTATTCACTCTCACCCTGTACTCTCACTTGTAACTATACAGTCTGCCCTTTGTACCCACATATACCGTTCCATATCATCAACACCTGACACTCACCTACAATCTTTCCACTCTTTTATTTGCTGCTCTGTAGTCTACCCTATACACTCTCACCTTATACTCTCGCTTGCAACTATATAGTCTACCCTTTGTACTCACACATACTGCCCCATATCGTTAGCATCCGACACTCACCTGCAATCTTTCCTGTCTTTTATTTGCGACTCTGTAGTCTACCCTATATCTCTCACATACTCACATCTGACACTCACTTACAATCTTTCTTATCGTTCTAAGTATCCTACCCCCCTTTTCTCCTGTACACGCAGTTCGAAACGACCACGTTCATGCCGCATCAGCTCATGTCCATGACATTCCAAGTGTATCTATCTGTGGCAAATCTAGCGCAGGAGCGTCTGCCACTCTCTCGTCCCCAGAAAGCTGCTCTGGCGAAGATTAAACACAGCTTCGCCAACGGTGGCCGGGATGAGGAACAACCCGAAACACCCAACCGATCGGAACAAAAGCTGGCCCAGACCGTGGGGGCTCTGAATCTGGGTAGCGTGCAGCCACAGGTGTGTGTGCGTGTGTGTGTGAGTGTGTGGGAAACTTCGGTACGTGTATTTGGTGCGGTTATGGACGTCTGAGAAACGTTATATATATGGAGGACAACCGCTATATGTAGCGATGTATAGTGGTATATGGGACGAGTGGGTGGCCAATCAACGTGTGCATGTCGATCGGGGCTGTGATCTGAGTATTGTGAAATAGGGTGCGTGTTAACTGAGCCCGAAGCTGGGTGCGATGTATGTGGTGTAGTTACGTTTGTCGAATGTGTATAAACAGCCTATAGGTACCTTTGTATTCGAAAGAGCTGTGTGGCTGTGCATGTGGGGTATTTACGTTTTTCGAATGTGTATCTACAGGTGACTTCGTATTTGAAAGTTGTGCATGTGGGGTAGTTACGTTTTTCGAATGTGTATCTACAATGGCTTTGTATTTGAAGGTTTTGTGTGGCTGTGTATGTTGATCGGAGCAGCCGTTTTCTCAGACTGTGGGGGAGGCTATGCGCCTGAGAAGTGTGGTACATCAGTTTCATGTGAAGAGTACGGTGCAGTGTAGTGTATATTGGGTGTACATGTATGTGTTTGAGGATGCTCTTGAGCTTTTGTGACCCGATACACCCGAAAGCATGAACTAACTGATATATTTATTTTTATGTTTATATTTATATTTATATTTATGTAAATATATATATATATATATATATCCACGAGCACTTGATAACTATGCCTTGGAATATTGGATTTTGATCAAAAATCACACCAATGGCTGTTTGGATACACTTGCACGACAATGAGTCATTTGTGTGATTTTGATCAAATCCAGTGTTCAAAACCGGTTGCGAATGCTCATGGGAAAGCGCATATATATATATATATATATGTATATATGTATATATGTACACACACACATATATATATATATATATATATATTATGGCAATGATTCTATTACTTACACTTGAGATGTATTACACGGAAATTCTCAAATACATTCAACATTTCGTACAAGCAGCCGTACTCACCTATCATTTCTGTTCCAACATTGTAATATAACTCTTAACTTTTACACCGTTTGTAATTTCAGTATCACAGTTTCCGAAAGTCTCGTACTTACCGCTTCATTTCCATTCCAATGCGTTAGTTTAAAGCTAAAAACGGGTACACCATCGATGTCGCTGTGCCGGAGAAGAAGCTGGCCTTCGAGTTCCAGGGACCAACCCATTTCTCATCCGCACCCGCAATGATCAATCAGCGTATACCTATGGCTGGCCTACAGCTTAAGCAACGGTGCGTGTATCGCATGTCTTCTTCTATGCTTCGAGGTGTTTAGTTCAGAGTTTAGGGTTAGGGTTTTAAGGTTTTTCGTGACATTAGCTTGGAGAGCCACCTGTGGTTATGACTTGATATATTCATGATGTAGTATATGTCAAAACTTGTGTGCAGTATAGATACATACACAGCTGTAGGTATAGTCTATTATTGGCCAAGTATGCGTGTATGTGCTGTTTTGGGATGTAGTACATCGATGTGTTAGAACATATGAATGTATGTCACACGTTGGAGTGGATGTTGATAGATGCACGTATACATGTTGTTGTTGTCCTTGCGGAGGCATGAAAACGCACCGTACCCTTTGTCATTACCATACCCATACCAATAATCATGCACGTTGACGTTCCAGTTACCGTTTTCTTATCTATTTATATTCCCATTATCATCCCCATTATGTTTCTCAAACCCATGCCAATTGCCATTCTAAATTCCATACCATTCACATTCACATTTCAATTCCCGTTTCCATATCCCCATTATCACCCCCATTATCATTTTCACGCCCATACCAATTCCCATTCATATTCCAAGTCTCATTTTCATGTCCATTTATATTCCAATTATCATACCTATTATCATTTTCATTCCCATCCCATTTTCCATTCCCATTTTTCATATCCATATATCCCCATTATCATACCTATACCTGCCCATCTTGGTACCCGCAAACTTACTTAGCCTAATTGATATATGTGTGTACAATCTATAGGCATCTGAAAGCCGAGGGCTGGAGAGTGGTACACATCCCATTCTGGGAATGGGCCGAGTTACGTATTGTGGACCGTTCAAAGTATCTGACGGAGAAGATCAAGGTAGGGCCGGGCACATAGTACAAGAGTATAATCATCTATTCTGTTTATAGATCTAAATGGATGTATACATCGCATTTATAAACTGTCTATGAATCTGATGCATATGTGTATACGTGTATATATATATATATATGTGTGTGTGGGTGGGTGTGTGGGTGTGTGTGTGTGCATGAGCGCTTCTGTGTGTGTAGCCCAGTGGGTGCGTAGGTATATTGTATATACTAGCAGTTTCAGTGCGAAGTGCACGTACCATTCAGCCTAACATTTAGATACAGTGGCTTTGGTAGATAGCGTGAATAGATGTGTTAACGAATATGGGTATTTGCTAACATTTATGTATGTATGTATGTATGTGTGTTAGTATGTGCATTCTATTGAGGACGTGGTATATTGAATGGATGTGTTGACGTGTATGTGTGTTTGCTAACATTTACGTATGTATGTACGTCTGTGTGTTAGTATGTGCATTCTAATGAGAACGTGGTATATTGAATGTATGTGTTGACCAGTATGTGTATTTGCTAACATTTATGTATGTATGTATGTCTGCGTGTTAGTATGTGCATTCTAATGAGAACGTGGTATATTGAAAGGATGTGTTGGCGAGTATGTGTATTTGCTAACATTTATGTATGTATGTGTGTGTGTTAGTATGTGCATTCTAATGAGTACGTGGTATATTGAATGGATGTATTGACGAGTATCTGTATTTGCTAACATTTATGTATGTATGTACGTATGTGTGTTAGTAAGTGCATTCTAATGAGTACTTGAAATTAAGAATTCCTCGCAACCGGCCGATCCATCAGATGCACTAGAATAGGCTGTCTGTGGATGATCCCAAATTTTGTATACAGTCTCGGCAGATCAATGGGTTCATAATTTCGACAAAGTTCCGAACTTCCTTGCTCATCTGCACACTCCCCTGCCAATTACCGATCCACCAGGAGTCCAAGAACAAGCTGCCCGTTGGGGAGCCAAACACCAGTGCACACTACGCCAATGAGACTGAAGTCCCCGACTTCGAGGGCCTCGAAACACCTCGCAGGGGCACGCTTTGGAAATCCGTAGGCAACTTCAGGGAGGACAGGTGAATTAGAGAGTGGACCAACAACACCGTGTTTGCATGTTTTGGCTGTATATATATATATATATATACATATGTGTGTGTGCAAGTGAATCCCTCATGTCCGGTACTGTGCACATGATGTCTAAATATAGAATAACCCCTGCGACACACGTCTCTTATGGTGGCTTGGTGCATGCTAGTATAATTAGGATGACGTTACGTTGTGACTTCCGCGTTTGCAAGTAATTCTGGAAAAGAGCAACATCTCGACCACCGTATGTGTAGCAATGCATTAGGCGTGGAGAGTAACTATCACACGCTCTAAAAATATGTGCGGTACACACCATACGTGTGCTCATCTACACCCTCTGAGTAGTCTCACGTAGTGGGTTAGACTGTGTGGGTTGCTGGTCGTGTACAGTCCTGTAGGTATCACCCCACTCCACGGCACTTGTCACTGTCTGGTTGGGCAGGGGACTGGCGAGGTCGATAAGTGCCATTGCACCAGTGTGTAACCATACGCTTACGATCTCGTATAAGCACCATGCAAAAATACATGCTCCCTGTCTCACACTACACGAGGACATCCATTTCTCACTCACATCATCTTGCTTTAACAACCCCCTTCTCCATACACAGGCACAAAGGTCCCAGAGGCAAACGCCCCTCCTTCGATGTGGTTGCTTCGTACCTGAAAGATCGCAGAAACAAACTGTCTGACCGCAGCGCCAAGCTATTGGCCGAGGACTATGGACGGGAATACGACTTGTCAGAGGAAGAGCGTGAGAGGATCCGAAGATATCTGCGCAAGTCACCCGAACCCGCGACAAATTAGGATTAGGGTCCGCGTTCTGCATAGACAGGTGATATATTACCGAGAGAGCGGAATTCAATACAATGGTATATGTAAACCCGAGACAGGATATATACATATATGGGTGACGGTAATTTAGATGCCAGAAAGTGCGAATTCAGTAGACTCGTAATAAACAAGCGTACTTGGGCGTATGTCTGTTCACTAATGTGTGTATAAGTTTGCTGCAGCGTACCAACTCTGACCACGGAAAATTATATATATATATATACCATATACCATATTATATATATACATATATTTTACATATATACCATACATACATACTACATCATACTACTACTACAT